TCTGTTTCCGTGCGATGTATAATTTGAGAGATATAAGCGTTTGAAACAACACCACTCGAAATTGCTACTTTTCGACCGGATGAGAATGAGTTAATATTGAAAGGAAACTTATTGATAAAATTGAAATCAAAGATGAAAAAGCTAGTTGTCCACGGGCAACTTTGTGTTGATGGAGGAACCCATTTGATATTGGCGCCTATTCAATTTTGCATTTTGTGCAATTTAACAAGCCTGGTATTTTGATAGAAATTTAGTCAAACTTGCGCTATAAAATTTGCCATTCATATTATTTGTTTTGATAGGAAACATAATGGTCAAGTCAAAAATGAAAGAACACTGGTTGGCCACGGGCAAATTTGTGTTGATGGAGGAACCCATTTGATATTGGCACGAATGGTAATTTAATGGAAATTTTGTAAAACTTGCGCTTAAAATTCGCCATTCATATCATTTGTTTTGGCAAGAAACATAATGGTAAAGACAAAAATGAAAGAACTAGATGGCCACCGCAAAACATGAGTTGCTTGGTGCCTCCCCGATCCTGTTTAATTGTTGCGAACAGATTCAAGAAAAATTTTTCGCCTGGAAACATGTATGATAATTTTACAAAAATTTTGTGAAATTTGCGTTTTAATATTGAAAGGAAACCTATTGATCAAATTAAAATCAAAGATGAAAAAGCTGGAACCCATTTGATATTGGTGCGAACCTATTCAATTTACATTTTGTGCCATGGAAACATGCAGCATGGTATTTTGATGGAAATTTTGTCAAACTTCCGCTATAAAATTTGCCATTTATATTATTTGTTTTGATAGGAAATATAATGGTCAAGTCAAAAATGAAAGAACTGGTTGGCCACGGGCAAATTTGTGTTGATGGAGGAACCCATTTGATATTGGCGCGAATGGTAATTTAATGGAAATTTTGTCAAACTTGCGCTTTAAAATTCGCCATTCATATCATTTGTTTTGGCAAGAGAAACATAATGGTAAAGACAAAAATGAAAGAACTAGATGGCCACCGCAAAACATGAGTTGATTGCTGCCTCCCCGATCCCGTTCAATTGTTGCGAACAGATTCAAGAAAAAATTTTCGCCTGGAAACATGTATGATAATTTTACAAAAATTTTGTGAAATTTGCGTTTTAATATTGAAAGGAAACTTATTGATCAAATTAAAATCAAAGATGAAAAAGCTAGTTGTCCACGGGCAACTTTGTGTTGATGGAGGAACCCATTTGATTGGCGCGAACCTATTCAATTTACATTTTGTGCCATGGAAACATGCATGGTATTTTGATAGACACGATGGTCAAATTATGCGTATTTTCTCCCACTTGGAGCCGATTGGAATGCGGTGTCATGTGACAAAATTACAAATGCCAAAGAGCGAGAAAAACTCGCGCGTTTAAATAGTAAATTTTCATAATTTATTATCCACTTTTTTCAACCCAGGCCCCTTCAAAATAGTGCCGTCTAAAGCATTTTGTTGTGAGCACTTTTGCGCTATATAGTGATTTAAACAGCAATCTGGATAGCTTTCATATTCCTGATCGCTTAGCCTGATCGCTTAATAAAAATTGTTTTCTTTGTCGAATAGAACACAAACTCTTAGAGGAATCGTATCGTCTTCTTCGTTCAAAAATAGGGCCTAACGCTTCCGGTCGTATATATCATAGATAATAGAAGAGAAGGATAGGGAACTCATTGTTCTATGTTTTTGTTCACGTTATTCATTTATTCAAATCATTCACAGCATTGTATTTTCTGTATAATGAGGCATTCATCCAATAGCAACGACTGGGTTGAATTAATCAGTCGCTTTATCGTGACGTGTCCATAGAATTTACTTCCATATAGGGCATGTCATTGTCTTTCAACATGAAGTTAATTTTTGCTGTGAGACAATGGAGTTGCCTATCCTTCTCTTCTATTATCTATGTATATATACAGTATATATAAATCCATCTCGCTGGTAAAATTTACTGACCACCGTGTGCACATAAACAATCTATATATTTCACAGCTTTTCTTCACTATATAGCCAGCCAGTTCTAAATAAAATTTACTCGTATACTGCTAAATTGACTATGGCCTTTTTAGACATCGCCCTTCTCATGTGCTTATCTTAATTCGTACACTATAATGAGTAATGCATGGAGTTTGATAAAGTTTATTAAAATTCGACGGTGATCAAACTAACATGACTAAAATGCAAGATTGGTCTAGCTAAAATTGAAATAGTCTAATTGAAAAAACACTTCTAATTTGGTTGCCAAGGTAACACTGTCGTTCCCAAGCCCTTTATATTGATTTTGTATAAGTACTTAAATTCATCTAAGTGGGTGTAATTTTCAAATTATGATAATGTAATAAACTTCTGATATGTATAGGTATACTAAACACACATCTGATATTATGTTATCCTAATCATGTCCAGGAATAAAGCTGTTTTATAAAATTCGCCTGGGGCCTGGAAACGACAGTGTAACCTTGGCAACAAAATTAGAAGTGTTTTTCGATGCGCTTCATCATGTTGTATGTTTGTACAAAATTTCATTTGATTCGAGTTCATAATAACTCAGCTATGCTTCAGTAACCTTATTAAAAAAACTCTTCCCCAGCAGATGACGTCACAAGTTGTGCTGAATCAGCAATTTATATTTTGCCCATTTTTGCGTATAACTTCCGAACTAGATGAGATAGAAAAGAACAGTAAACGGCCAAAGAAATAAAAGAAATAAATCTCACATAAAGAAATAAAAAAAATTATTGCCATTGTCCTTTAAAATGATCAAGGAAACATTTTAATAAGGAATGAAAAAGTCGCTATCCAGTGGATAACGCTATCCACCTTTCGAACAACCGGCCCCAGTACTTCATCAGCTCGCTCTACACGGTTGTGTTTTATGAACTTCTTCAAAAATTTTTTAGCCAAAATATTTGTTGACTTATTTGACATAATTTTTTTATGGCTTCTGCGCCAGAAAACAACGAGAATGGGGAAATGCTAGCCCCTAATCTAGCTCCACGAGAACGTTCGCGAGCAAATACTCCGGTGAAACAGCCACCGAGGAAAAAATCGCTTGAACGCTGCTCAGCAGCTCAAGGCGCAAAAAAACGAAGACGACATGAAAGGTCTTCAAAAACGGCCGGGCATGCGAAAGGCGCAAAAAAAACGACGATCTAAAGGCCCATTTGTACGCTCAATTTTTGGCACGGCACGGATAGAATGTTATCCATAGTCTCAGTACGGGTGAAACTGGTACGGGTACCTTTTTATCCGTGCCGTGCCAAATATCAAGCGTAGATGGGCCTTAGTGTAAATTTTAACACGGCCATGGACCGCCGCCAGCTAAATATGGCCAGTCGTGTGCTTGACCCACTTGGTCCTTTATATCATCTATGGCAGTCTGCCATTTCAGCGGAAGCTGAGGGCACAGCCATGATCGGCAACGCTTTTCACTGTGCTTTAGTTGACCGTCGCAAGAGCTTGTTAACTAAAGTTTCACCTGATTGCTTAGACCTGGTTGACGATCCAGAGCTGTTCACTCCTGGTAACTCCGACCTGTTCGGAAAACGGTTCAAAAAGGCGATTTTTAAGGACTTGAAACTGACAACGAACCATTTAAGCCTTTTCATAAAAAACAAACCATTTAAGCCTTTTCATCTGCAGCAGCCCGGGAAAGGCCATCGAGTTACAATCCCTGCCCTTGGAACGATCGCTGGAACCAAACGAGCGAGTATCGCGGGGGGTTCTCTCAATGCAGAGGAAAACCCAACTTTTTTCAAAAGCAAGGAAAACAGCACTAACAGGTATTGCTCCAAATATAAAACAATCAACCGGAAAACAAACGGGTCCGAAATCGGCTCTAGCAGTTCAATCTTTAATTTCCAGTCATTTAAAAGTCAATTTTCAGTCTCTTGCCTTCCATGCTTTGGGTATGAGATTGATGTTGCATAAAACAAAAATGTTTTACAGTATAAAATCTGAAAATTATTTTATTTATTTATTTTTATTACAATATTTAGACTTACAACTCTCCCGAATCCCCCCCCCCCACACACAAAACAACCTCCCCCAAACAAAGCATAAGGCCCGTTTAAACGGATGCAACATCGTAACAATGTTTGTTGGATCGTTAGTATAAAGTTTTTTTTGTAACTATATCAGGTAAGTTTGTATAAAACGATAACGCTTTACTGATTTTTCGTCAATCTTGGACAATGTTGGATGAAAAGTTCGAATGAAATCAAACTTGATCCAACAACATCCAACATCATGCAACAATATCCAACATGGTGTTCAAAGGGACCCAACACGTTGGACACAACAATGAATGTTGGATGATGTTGGTCCAACAAGTTGCAACCATTTAAACGGGCCTTAACACAATGATTACATTTTCAATTCAATTTATATTTCCAAATCAATTTCAATCTAAAATGTACACAGACTTAATTATCTTATTCACTAAATGTTAAAAATCAATTTCAATCTTAATATCATCGTAGTCAATTTACTCGATTCTGATTGGTTAAAAACTGTGCAATTAATCTTTAATACGCACAGTGTGCGTATTAAAGATTAATCGGCACGGTTCTGAGCCGCCATTTCCCAGCGGTAGATTAAAAACAATACAAAAAAGGAAAATTTTCACAACGTTTTGTCAACATTTACCGATGAAGTACACCATGTCTCACGGTTTCGGCCGGTGCACACGATAAACACCGGTGAGACATGGAAATTCCACCCTCCACAACCAAACTCACAATGGTTTCGGCCGGTGCGACAGGTAGTTGGCGGTTAACAGCGGTGAGGCATGATTATTTGGGCAGTTCATGTATGCAAAACCATTGTTTTCGGCGGTGAGACATGAACTGTATAGACGGAGAGACATGATGTTGTTGGATGATGCACACCAGTGAGACATGGTGAGACATTTGGTTTACATGGTTTTCACATCCTGTCTCACCAGCAAATGGTTTTTACACATACATACAAATATAACGGTGACACACATACCGGTCACATGGCCTTTCTCACCGGCCATACATGATAACTTTCATCCAACTGAGCCATGTCTCACCGGTAATTCACATTTGGTTCGGTCGGTGAGACAGGGTTAGTTGACATAACCTAATTAAGACATTTTCAAGCGAATGAAATATAATATAATTGACAAAGGTATATGAATAAATTACGACGATTTACAAGATATCAAATTACGACAATAGAGTAGATCAGAGTAGGAGGAGAGGAATTTTGAGATAATTTGAAATCGTTTAAAGAAGCCGTATGACCACTACTGCTAAGGTGTGCAAAGATACTAGACATTACGGGACTACCGCTTTTTCGACCTGTAAGAGGCGAAATACCCAAGTGCTTCCTTTTCAACACTTCCTTTTCTCGACGTAAACATCACATGCAAAAATGGTCATTTTGAAACTTTGAAATCTGTGCAAGGCCGGAATCTGTGAACGAACAAGTTTTGCAATTGGCAATGTCACAAGGGAATGTGCCATTGGGCTCTGAACAATTTTGCTGTTAAAGAGCTGTGTACCAAAGTGTCGCGAATATTTTTTTTGTGTCGAAAAGAGACTAATGGGTTATCGGAGAAAATAGAAGATAACAACAATCACGTAGAAACTTGTTACGAACGGCCTGTATCAGCCTTGTTGGAACAAGTTGTTGCAAGTCTGTTTGTTGACTTTATCAACCTTGTTATAACTTGTTCCAGATATCGGCTTGACAACAACTTGCAACAGATCTGTGAGATTATTGGCTGTTTAGAGGTTGATTAGAACGATCGTGACGTACAATCGGAACGAAACGGTTGGAAATCTTCGGATGGAATGTAATGAACGAATCTCTTGGGATTTTAAGTTTGGTTTGTGAATTTGTAGTTTTTGTTTGACGATTATTCGCTCGTAGTGTAAAATAGAAGAAACCATGTTCGGGGTACGGAAGTACCGAAATAGCGAGTGGTGTACCCTGAAATCTAATCGTTCAAACCCCTTTGATACGGATATATCTGGTTTACTGTCCTGTCAACTTCAACGGACGCGAATGTCATCACAATAACAATTGAGTGTGATTTTCCCTGTTCAAGACAGCTGAGTAAAATTGTATTCTGTGTAGTTTATGTTTTGGATGCTTTTGTCAATTAGGACTAAGTCAGATTTACATATGTTGTATTTTCTTTGTAAAACACACGTCCAGAGCATGTTATCAATCGGTCATATTATGCAAAATGGGTTTATTTTCTCGCTCGCTCACGGGTATCAAGCGATTACATCGTTTCAGCAAAACTGAATTTTAGTGTGAGAATAAGTAATAGTAAGGTGATGACTTGTTTTCAAAAACTCGCCCATCAACCCTCTAAATATTTCAATAAAACTTTGACATTGAATTGACCTTTCACACGAACAATAGCATGCGAGCGGTTTAATTAGGCGTCATGGGGCTTTCCAGCAAAGAAAATACAACATCACAAACTTTTCCTTGGCAAGTTGAATCAGAAATTTTAAAGCAGCTTTGAAAGTCTTTTTCATAAGATTTGGACGGAGAAAAACGTCGGGAAGTGCGAGTTTTACAAATACAAATAAAAACAAATTTGTATTTACGCGCCTTACTGCTGACCAATCCAACAAAAAAAACGGGCTCAAGTTTGAACAAAAACATAGAACAATGAGTTCCCTATCTTCTCTTCTATTATCTATGTGCTGACAGTCTTGCAGATGGTTTGACCTCTCAAGATTGTTGACCTGTTGTGCACATTTACATTATTTAATCGGGATTCATAATTCAGCAGCAAAATGGCAAAGGTTTCAGTGACATTAAGCCAAAATGGCGGATATCCTTGCGAATATCCCTTTGCAAAGGAAAATATACACACCACACCAAACAGGGACATTTTTCTCTGCACGTTTTCTGTGGATCTTCGCCCCAACCTTTTTTTCGTAAAGACGTTAATTTGGCGTGCGTGAGGCTAAATTTGCAAAAAAAATCATCAGAAATATGCAAACCTAATGACCAGTTCTAACAAATGAACGCTCAATCTGCATTCTTAACATTCGGGCCAACATCCCTACCTCCAAACTCATCTCCACCCACAACACCATCTTTATGCTCATCACTAAAAATAAAAATTCACTGAGTGATCAAAATCACCCTGGATCACGAAGCGCCTGTTGGGACCTTTTTTCCATTTAATTTTCAAACTCACATTTTAAGAGAGGCCATGGAATCATTCATCTGTGAAGGGAAAATGCAGTCAAAGTGTTATTTCTGTTTTTAAAACAAATCAACAATGTTAACGCCCAGCTTAGTACTGCTAAGTGAATGGCCATTAAACAAAATATACGAAAGGAGAATTTATTTACGTTTCATCGCAACGTGCGACATAGCGACAGAGCAGCCACTGGTTAGTTCACCTTTCAAGAGCTTCCCGAGGCAATCTTTTTTTGCAACTCTGTGTTTGTGGGCTAAATATGGAAATCATGCGCAACGCTAACCTACTCCCGTCTCAACAGAAATCGTCCACGGTGAACCGCTGTAAGATTGTTTCAATATCTGTCAAAGCGAACACAAAAACAGACATTAAAGCCCAGATCAAACGAGTCATATCTTTCGATGCTCAGACTTCTGAAGTGAATCATGACAGAATTTATATGTAGTAACGTTTAAAAAGAAAAGGAAACAACAACCTTCGTTCTCATCTCCCCGTTTACACAGCTAGAGCCTAAAGGTGCCGATAAAATGGAAAAAAACCTGGCGGTCTAATTTGTATCGCAACAAAAGATCATTTCAACTACATAATCATAACGGCCTTTTCAGTTTCTCAATATCTTTCCTCGTGCTCAAGATATTTCTGTTTTTAAAATATATTGTAGCTAGTCCAATATCTGTTTGTTTCTTCACTAAACGTGCAGACTCAATCGATATTCAAGACTCAATCAATATTTTGCAAACAAGAGAAAATATTGTGAAACCGAAGAACGCCTTGATGGTTTATTAGAGGCACTTTCAGTAATAAACAAGCACTTTACTTGCTACAGGGGAACTCCGGACGGAGACACATTGACGTCGACTCTCTTTCCAACTGTGTAGGCTCTGACGTCCCTTGCAGCTATTCACAAAACAGCCATAATTAATATGTTTTTTTGTAAACATGTACGGGTTTTCTAAAATCTCAGAACATGCATTAACTAATGAAACCATGCGCGTAGCATTTGCCAGATATATTTTACTATTTCTGCGGGAACCAAAACAATTACTTACAAATAACAACAACATACAAATACTTACAACGATTTGTAAGTTAGGATCCGTAATTGTGGTAAATGTTCCCACAGTTTATCACCAAAAATTTTTAACATGGCATTTACATCTCCCATAGCTCTGTGACGATCTAAAAAACATAAAATTTATTTAATAATGTGAGTAAAACAGTTTTTTCACTAAACTAACAATTACTATATCGCCGACTTTGCTTCACAGCAAATCCTCCGGTCTAACCTACCGGGAAATTTTTCTCCAGGATAAAAAAGGCTATAGAGCCCATCCATGCCCAACCTCGCTGTGTCCTGGAGCTCAGGCAAATCTTCTTGTAGCTGAAAAAAAATATGAAAAAATACATCAAATAAATAGATTTTAATTATGTTAATTGGACATGTATAACTCACTTCTTGGCACAACAGAAATGTATCTGCAAAGGCCAGATGCAGATACTTCATTTTGTAAAAATGGCCAACATACCGGCCAACATACCGCTCCACATTGCGTATGAAAATTTCAAAATCGAACTTGAAACCTCCATGCGCACACAATACTAAAAAAAAAAAAATCACACATGATAGGTTTTTGCAACCACACATAACATGCACAATTGAACTGGCTTTTTAGGCAGTTATCTTTAATGTTTGCCTTAACCCTTAATGTTTCCGCAACAGCCATACCTGGGCGAACGTCCTTGGATATATCACGTTTTTTATACCATTCACACGCCTTTTGTACACGATTTTTAAGCCATTTCATCATATTTTTGTAAACAACTTTGAATTCATTTATGTTAGGATCAATAAGCCTTTTCTTTGTTATGCCAGATTTCACAGCTAAAAAGAAAACAAGTTTCACTTAGGACACCGTTCACACAATGCCACGATGTCTGTTTCAAGTTTGTTTTTATACTTATTTGAACAGGGTCTACAGGGTGTCTCCCAAAAAAATGTGAGAGAGAGAGAAAGAGAGAGAATGGTACACGGCAAATAATCCATGCGCCATTTTTAAGTATGTTTTTGGAAGTTACCTATTCCCCCAATGGATAGTTAACTTTAACTACAGTTAACTACTTTTTTATAAAACCGACTTAACTATGTGGTTAAAGTTAAATGCTGTTTGGCCACTTACTAAATTTTGATAGCCTATGCTTGGTTTTCACCAAACATTGAAATGATCGCTCCTGCTTGCAGGTCTTTGGATCAGTTTTCATAGCAATTTCTACGATATCTCCATCCTTCGGGTTGCCTGACGTAGCTTCCACATCAAAGAATATATACATGTCCATTCTTACCTGTCAAAACCACAACTGTGATTTGAGTCATACAATTTAATACTACATAAAACTACTTGATCAATCTTAAATGTCTTTGCTATAGAATGGTCATCAATCAAAATTTGACGTTTTTGGCAAAAATAATCCAACCGCTGCCCAGCTCCTTTGCCAGAAAAAACTACAACAAACTTTCACAAGCTACGGTGGACGTGGACAAATGAAACATGTTCCGATTTTCCCTCCCTCGCGTACCAAAGAATAAGATATGACAAGTAAAAACGGTCTTTCAATAAAATTCAATTTCCTTTAGGACATTACGAAAATTTTTATTCTATATATCGATAGATCATCTCTACGGAATACTTAATTTCCTAGTTTAAGCTGCCCAACGCGTTTAGTTGCTGAGAAAATTGATGAAAAT